TCTCTAACTCTTCAAATGTCGAATGTATAACTATTTCTAATTTCTACATTTCCATTATTTTCACCATATTAATTATATCTTATAATTGTCCCCTGTTCTAAGAACTCTCTTTCTTTTTAACACTTCCATTTCTTTATCTATATATTTTAAGTTTTTTTAATATAATTTATATTTTTAGTTTTTTTTTTAACTTGTTTTTGATTTAACTTATTTTTAAAGTTAATTTTTTTTCCTAATGTACACTTCCATTTCCTATATATTTTATTTATTTTATTTTTTTAACTTGTTTTTTGATATATTTTTTATTTTTAAATATTTTTTTTAATATAAACCAATTTTTTTTTAATTAAAAATTTTAAAAGACATTCACACTTAAAATCAGAAAGAGACATTTGAAATTTCTGGGACACATTATGGAGAAAGAGTGCTTGGAAAATGTAACACTCAGAGGAAATATTGAAGGAAGGATGACAGAAAGAAAGAGCGTGTAACCTACCTAATGAGACTGCGTGAATAAATGTCAGAACTAGAACAAAGAGGGATGGTAAAGAATTAAATATTATTTAAAACAACAAGATACAGGAAGTTGTGGAGAGCCCACGATCACCTACGTCCCAAGTGTACACAGTACATAAAAGAAGAACGGATATGTTTCATGCATATATCGCTCGCTTTCCATTGTCAAAATCTTTGTGCTGTTTGTTTAAAGATAAAATATTGAATCAAAGGAATGAATTAGTTTTAAAATATCGACATAAAAATCAAATTCAAATTTCCATAACATAGATTTTACTTTATTAGCTACTATAATTCTCTAACTCTTCAAATGTTGAATGTATAACTAATTCTAATTTCTGTATTTCCATTTTTACATCATATTAATTATATCTTATAATTGACCCCTGTACACCGTATATAAAAGAAGAATGAATATGTTTCAGGCATATATCGCTTGATATATTCTGTCTGTAATTTTCATTGTCAAAATGTTTGTGCTGTTTCTTTAAAGAAAAAAATAGAAAAAATATATTTCTATAAAATTTATGTCTTTTCAATGGAAAAGATATATAAACAAAACGAGAACAAAGATCCTCACATTTTCAACCACATGCTAGGTTTCCGGCAATATGCAAAATGACAATCAATTTGTTTTTAATCATAGCATTTCATGATTAAAGATAAAATATTGAATATAAAGGAATGAATTAGTTTTAAAATATCGACATAAAAATCAATGAAGTTCGTTGTTAACATTATAATTAAGCCACTAAGACGCAAAGGGTTACTGAGTGTGGAAGAATAAGAAAAAAAAGAAAAATATTATTAATGACTGAGAACAATAGAAGTGAAATCAGGAGGAGAGTAGATAACGATTGACATTGCATTTAAATTTTTGAAGATCAAAGTTGGCTAGAAAGCATGGAGCTGGAAGAGAGTTCCGGAAACGAGAAGTGCGAGGAAAGAAACTGTTAGGGTGTATAGTAAAGACACAGGGAAGCAACTTTACGGCGGTGGGAAAGTGATTAAAACTAAGATGCCAGATCAGCACCAATAGTATTGCTGATTCTTCTAAGGATTTTATCAAGAATCTCTAAATATATAGAAGGAGTATCATTGCATGGATGAAGCAACATTCAAAGCGTGTGCGAACGGTAGACTATCTTACATACTTATAACTATGTAAGATAGATTCTGAAGAGAAAAAATGCTTATATCGACACTTTCTTAGCAGCTGACCTGGTAATCGAGACAGTTCGTCTCCCCGTAGCCCTTGCAGTTTGTACTGTTAAAACCTAATCCACGTGTTGGGGGATTTAGTTTCTAAAAACAAATACGTCCATTCTTCGCATTAATCTTATTGCTAATCCATTTTAAATAGTGTCTTTGAAAGATATCTTCAGTATAATAGGTTTACTGTCAAATCACTCTGAAAACACCGGTTCTCGTTAAGCAATGTCGAGTCCAGTCAGTGCTTAGATGAGGAACGGCTTGGAAACACGGGATGCTTTAAGCAACCTCTTACAAATTGAAAAAATGGTTCGGTTTTAAATAACCCGCAAAAGGTTGATAGGCCGTAAAAAAGCAATCAACTACACTATAATAGATTAGCGAATTTAGTATAATAAAAAAAATGTATTTTATTAAGGACTAGTATAAAAGCCGCACTCCATGTGGATATTTAAGCTAACTCCTGCATAGGGCTAATTGGACCGCCTACCCAAAACTAAAGGGAACTAAAGGGTCCAGCTTAGAAAATAATAATGATAATAATAATAGAAATAATAATAGAAAAAATGATAATTTTGAAGAAATAACTTTGAATTCCTCAACTCTCTCCATGAAACTTCAAAGCCTCACTTTAACTCTGATTCAGGCTAAAAGTCCAATTCAGGACAAACGGCAGATTTGGACTGAAAGTGCGATTTGGACGGAAAGTCCGATTTGGGCCAAAATTTCAATTCAGGCCAAAAACTGAGTTCTTCAAATCACAAATTATGCGGAACTTCAAAGCCTCACTTTAACTCTGATTCAGGCTAAAAGTCCAATTCAGGACAAACGACAGATTTGGACTGAAAGTCCGATTTGGACGGAAAGTCCGATTTGGGCCAAAATTTCAATTCAGGCCAAAAACTGAGTTCTTCAAATCACAAATTATGCGGAACTTCAAAGCCTCACTTTAACTCTGATTCAGGCTAAAAGTCCAATTCAGGACAAACGACAGATTTGGACTGAAAGTCCGATTTGGACGGAAAGTCCGATTTGGGCCAAAATTTCAATTCAGGCCAAAAACTGAGTTCTTCAAATCACAAATTCTGTGGAACTTCAAAACTTCACGTCACAAAATTTCTCACTTTAACTCTGATTCCTCGCCATTTTAAAGAAATAAAATTGATTTTCTCAATTCACAAATATTTCTAGGCTATAAATAGAATTTAAAACATTTATAAATTCGAAAAGTTACTTTAAACTCAATATAAATTAAAAACTTTTAAAGTCACTACTTATTTTCAGTTATTTTAAAATTTGAATTTTTAATTGTTCCCTCCTCATCTGGACATAAATCCCAATGCTGAATGTTCAAGCACCAGATGAAGGACAGATGTTCAATCCCGAGATCATCTGGATTCCAAAAAAGTATCATATGTCTATGTAGAGTAAGTGTGGCCCGAGATAGAGGTGTTCAGATTTGCCGTTTATTAGAGAGGATCGATAGGTGTGTTTTTTTTTTCTTTAACCAGCGGCATGGGTAGGTGAGCTTAGGGTGAAATGGTTCAGAACCGCTCGTCTGTCGTGTTAGCATCTCATTCTCAACGACGGAAAGAAGGTCTCGTGAATTATTTTTAGCAAAACATCGCCTCACGTGAGTCTTTCGGGCTGCTTTCGAACCCTGGATTTTCCCAACACGAAGATTAAAGTTGAAATTGACAAGATTAAAAAATGTGTTATTTTTTGGTCGATTTTGTTTAGCGGCGTATCGACATCTCCATGGGTTATTTAATGCCAAAATCTAAATAATTTGAACACAATTTTAAGGCTTTAACTAAATATATTTTGAACGCAATTGTATGCCTTCAACTACAGATTTCATGCATTGCGGGTCATATATTGTTGGTCTTTTTTATATAAAAAAATATCTACCGATGCCGTCAAAATTGTGGCAAGAAAGAATGTATTATAATAAGTAATATGTATTATATTGTAAGTAATTTTCGTTTAATCCAAGTGCAATTTGTAATTTTAAAAAGTTCGTTGTTAACATTATAATTAAACAGTGTACACAGCTCAGGAATGATATTCGTATTTTATCCTCATTGTGTGTGTACGTGTGTGCTTTTGTTATAGATTTTGGGACACACCTTAGATGTTCTTGGGAATCAAATTTGCTGAGAAATTAGAATATCATCACTAGTGATAGTCGATCCCACAGTCCAAGACACCTCGAAGAAAAATAACTTTATGTTGAAGCTTAATTCAAGCTGAAATAAAATGTAAACCTTGGCCAAGTTTTGTCTGACATATTTTTATCTCTTCTCTCTATCCTTTTCTATTTCCCCCTCTCTCTTTCTCTTTCTCTCTTTCTTTCTTTGCAGTTATGTATCTGTTTCTTTTCGTGATTACTTTCCATCACTCATTTCGCTTTGATTGTACTTCGCAGAGAGAGGGAAAGAAGGAGGCTACTTTGTAGTTTGTCAGCGTAGTAGCTTTTTTGACGTGAATGGGGTCATGACTTCTGTGTGTCTCATGTCAAAATTTTACACAACGCCCCCTAACAGGTGCTACCACCCTGGGTCACGGTGGCCCTGGTAACAGCAGCAATTAAGACGGGGTTCCACGGTCCTCAAAGCCTCCAATCTCCCGATCAGAGGCTTTTCAGCAAGATGTAGTTTATCGTCATACCCAGGACTTAAGAAATATGTAACGAGTACGCGGTTGACGTCTATCCTGAAATAAGTCTTTGCTGACCGTTTTTGAAAAGCGGAAAGGTCGCTGGAATAAGTTTCCGTCTTTCAAAAATGGGGAATAGATCAATCTATCACTGCTACCCACCTTGGTAGGCCATAAGTTCTTTTATATGGAATGGTTGGATACTTTCCGGACAGACATCCTACGTAGATGAGTGGCAACATCTTTCTCTTAACTGAAGGAATGTATTCTGTGAAGGCATGCATTAACAGGGCTCTATTTCTTTGTTCTGCGTGTTCGTGCTTAACGCATGAGTCATGAGCCCTGAGAATACACACTTGTAAACGAATAATGCGCTTAAGTCTGTCTTCGCAACGTATCAAAATTTCAGTTGTTCTTTCTTTGCTTTTAGGCTTCATGATCTCAGCTATTGTGATGTCTTATTGTTATTAAGTTTTATCATTTTCTACCTAACTTAATTCAGTCTTAAAATCTACGGCTAGCCAAAGATAAAGACAGATGGGCAGGAGGTGGGATGAACAGCCTTATGTTAGGTGAATATTGACCTGGAATTGAACAGCCTTATGAAAGCTTTTTTATAATTTCTTGATGTACCAATGTTGATAGATAGATAGATAGATAGATAGATAGATAGATAGATAGATAGATAGATAGATAGATATGGACAGAGTGATATCGCAGTTAACAAAATTAGATAGATAGATAGATAGATAGATAGATAGATAGATAGATAGATAGATAGATAGATAGATAGATAGATATGGACAGAGTGAGATTGCTGTTAACATAATGAGATAGATGGATAGATAGATGGATAGATAGATAGATAGATAGATAGATAGATGGATGGAGAGAGTGATATTGCAGTTAACAGAATGAGATAGATAGATAGATAGATAGATGGATAGATAGATAGATAGATAGATGGATGGATGGATATGAATAGGTTGAGATAGATAGATAGATAGATAGATAGATAGATAGATAGATAGATAGATATGGACAGAGTGAGATTGCTGTTAACATAATGAGATAGATAGATAGATTGATAGATAGATAGATAGATAGATAGATAGATAGATGTATGAATAGGTAGAGATAGATAGATAGATATGAATAGGTTGAGATAGATAGATAGATAGATAGATAGATAGTTAGATAGATAGATAGATAGATAGATAGATAGATATGAATAGGTTGAGATAGATAGATAGATAGATAGATAGATAGATAGATAGATAGATAGATAGATTTACTTTGGTTTCTTTTCTTTATTCTTCCAAAACCCTAATTTCTGCTCGCGGAAGGGCATAAGCAATTGGTCTCTCCACAGACCTTTCTCTTCACTTCTCGATACCCAAAGACAACAATAAAATCAATATTTATCTTTTCGAGTCTCCTTAATGATACGCAAAGATATGAGGGTTAAGGAAAAGGAGAAAAAATCACTGACAGGAGATAGCCGACATGAGACCTTAAGATGAGAGACGTAGAGGAAAATAGTTAATCTAAGAAAATAAATAGGGGAAAAAATGAAGAAGTGGTGTATATCATTTTATTTTGGGGTTCCTTTCGTTTCCCAAACGTGATTTTGGCTTCAGACCGTCACAACCAGGGCCGGTGCAACCGTTTCGTACTCCCGCCCCCACCAACTCTGATACGCACCACCTCCCCTCTACTGCATTTCAAGTTCCATAAGGTAGTCTTTATATAAAATACAAATTTTATTGTAACCTAATTATGTACAATAGTGGACCATATGCAGTATAGGTTAACAATTCAATTAGAAAAATTGAAAATAAATACAATGTACCTAAATACAAATTAGAGACATGTCATAATCTTTCCATCTTAAATAAATGCAAAATTTTTGGCGGCAATTTTTATCAACTTGTGATTTTTTTTTGTTATTAGGTTAGTGCAAAAATAATGTCGTTTTTGACGTTAAGTTTAACGTCAAAAAACGATATTATTTTTGCACCAACCTAATAAAAAGTTGAATAATTTAGCAGGTCCAATGTTATGGATAAAAAATACCAAATTTTATATAGTGTTTTTTTCGCAGTTTAGCATGAACAAAGCAAATTGATGGATATGGACGAAAAAAAAGCCCCCCCCCACCATAATGGCGTCAAAATCCGCGAAAAATTTTTTCATCTTTTAACAGTCAGTTGTACTTAGTTTAATTTGTATTAACATATATAAATATAGTTAAGAAAAAAAGCAAATGTTGATAAGCTAGCGTGGTCACAAAGCACTGCCCGGGGCCCTCAATCAGCTCGGGGGATCCGGAGGTAGTACGCGCCGGCCCTGGTTGCAATCCACTAGTATTTGTTTTCAATTCCGTTCCGTAAATAAGACAGTCTTGATAACGCGCATGTGTGATTTAGTATGGCTGTTTAAGAGTGCCTTGCGCAGAAAGTCGGTCGACTACTGTGACAGACATGCAGGCATGGAGGCAGACAGACTGACAGGCGGATGAATGGGGCAGACAAATGGAAGGGCGGGAGAGTGAGAAAGAGATAGGGGGGGGAATAGAAAGAATAGCTATGCGACACTGATGCGATTTTTTCAAACCGAAGAATTTTGCTCCTTATAGATCAAATTAGCCACTTATTACAAAGCCTCCAAGAATGTGCTGGGCACTATCTCTTTAATTCTAACGATATCTTGTTTGCTGTCTGTTCAGCTACCCAGCTTTTCCCTTCATTTTCTCGCTTTAGAACCGCCAAACCTCACCTTCCACATTTAAAATCCTTTTAAAAAAAAAGAGTTTTATGCAAACGTAATATGACCACTTTGCAGTATTTGCTCTACGTGTTGTTAAACCGCAGTAGAACAGCGAGCAGTTGCATCCAATGTTAGTTGATACCATCTTCGCCGTTACAGAAACCATGAAAACACAGTGTCACAAATATGGAAAGGTTGGCGAGGGGGAAGAGACAAAGAAGAAAGAAAACGAAGAGAAAGAAAAGAAAAAGAAATCTGAAATATAAATCGATGACAAGTTCTTTATTAATTTTTTTTTTATCCTTAAAACATGTAACAAATATGACAGTCGTAATCAAAAAAAAAATAGTATTCAATTGAAAGCCTGAGTAAAAAGTAAATTTTACCAAACTTTATCAACTCCGTGTTATGGATATTGTCAGCAAGAAAACTTTTATTTATTTATTTATTTATTTATTTTTATTTTTATTTTATTTTTTATTTTTAGAATTGCTTCTTCGACGTGAAGTCTGTTAATTTCTTTGTCATTATTTGCTTAGTTAAGTTGAAGAGAAAGCATAGTAGTAAAATCTTGGTGTTTCTTCTGCACTATGAAAACGTTTAATTTGGGGCGACTACCACAACAGTTAGGTGTGTCTACATTTTTACAGAGATAGGGATACACCCTTTAGCGTGAAAAATAGAAGCGGGGGCAGATGTGTGATACCGGGGAAATAAAGCGATCGTTTGAAGAAATTCGAAGACAAAAATGGTAAAGAGAACAAAGAGAAAGTGAATGGCTTGAGGAGAAGGTGAGATGAAAAAGGAAAAGAAACTGGAAAGGACAGGACAGAAGGAGATGTGAGAGGAGGAAAAGAAAACTGCAAGGGAATCGAAGCGAAAGAGGAGAAGCGAGAAACGGAAGAGAGATGAACAGAAGAGGATATTTCTGTTTGATTTTTGAGATGAGGAGTTACTATGTACAATCAGACTAATATTCTTATGTTTATTATTATTATTATCATCATTATTATTATTATTGTGAAGTACGGTGGTCGTTAATAATTAAGTATAACTCAAGACTTCAATGTTAAGCTAAAACAGTATTTAAATACAACCGCGAATAAATATTTAAAAAAGCCAAAGAAGTCAAAGTCAACCAAAGATAATTAACCGTTTCAGTGAATACTTTGTTAGTAGCGCGGCTCGGCTAAACGTCCGCTGAATCCTAAATCAAACCCCAAAACATCGATAATTCACACTAATTCGACTGGATAGTTCCACTCAATAGTCACTCAGTAATCACTCCAGTCAGTAGCCTGACACCGCTATTTATACACCTGGCGAAAACATATATTCATAAGTCCAGTGTGTCCGTAGTTACTCATTTTCTTCAGATATGACAATTATCAGACATTTCTGATGTTGTGCTTTAATATATGCCAATTGATTATCCAATTCATTCAGGTGTGGGTTAATCTGCGTAATATTCATGGAATTTTAAACTGAACACTTTGTTTAATACACGGGATGCTCACACAAGACAACAACATGCAAGATTAAAACACTCTTGTATTTTTTTTTAATCATTTTGCCCCAAGCAAGGCGATAATGCCACTAAGACGCAAGGAGACTACTGAGAGTGAAAGAGAATGAGAAAATTTTGAATGAATCGGGGAAACCGAATCCTAAGCAGGGAACAAGAGGTAAACCTCACGACTTGTTCAAAATGCCGGGGTGAAATTTGAACCGGGAAATAGGCGAACTTATCTACTCCTATTGGGAAAAAATAAAATGAAAAATAAATAGTAAATAAAATTTCAGAATTTAGTCGATAACGTTAGAAGTATAAAATTGAAGTAGAAGAAACAGGAAACCCAATCCTAAACAGGAAACCAGGGATAAACCACTACTCCTGTTCAAAAGAGCGTTAACCGGATTATAGGCGAACCTATTTAATCCTTCTGAGGAAAAAATAAAAAAAAAATAATTAGTAAATACAATTTCAGCGTTTAGTCGGAGAGGTTAGAAGCATAGAATTAAAGCAGATTTTAGAAGGAACCGGAAACCAAATACTGACAGGAAACAAGGGATAAAACTCTAATCCTGTTCTAGTTTTTATGTTAATACTGCTCAGATATTATTCACGCTCTAAGTACTCTGCCTGGATTGAACTCACAGTTACTATATCACCAATACTTTAATCTACTAAATTACTGGGCAATAGCTTCGTTGATTAGACATCGACATTCTCTTGATGAGAGCCGGAGGGTACAACGTTATGATAACATCAACAAAGATGAGGACAATAGTCCGAATGTAAATGGCATAAATAATGATAACTCCTGATCCCTAAAATTCGGAGAGAAGGTGATCAGGTGATAACAACAACAAAGATGAGGACAATAGTCCGAATGTAAATAGCATAAATAATGATAACTCCTGATCCCTAAAATTCGGAGAGAAGGTGATCAGGTGAAAACAACAACAAAGATGAGGACAATAGTCCGAATGTAAATAGCATAAATAATGATAATTCCTGCTCCCTAAAATTCGGAGATAAGGTGATCAGGTGATAACAACAAAAATATGAGGAGAATAGTCCGAATGTAAATAGCGTAAATAATAACTCCTGATACCTAAAATTCGGACAGAAGGTGATCAGGTGATAACAACAATAAAGATTAGGGCAATAGTCCGAATGTAAATAGCATAAATAATGATAACTCCTGATCCCTAAAATTCGGAGAGAAGGTGATCAGGTGATAACAACAACAAAGATGAGGACAATAGTCCGAATGTAAATAGCATAAATAATGATAACTCCTGATCCCTAAAATTCGGACAGACGGTGTTCAGGTGATAACAACAACAAATATGAGGACAATAGTCCGAATGTAAATGGCATAAATAATGATAACTCCTGATCCCTAAAATTCGGAGAGAAGGTGATCAGGTGATAACAACAATAAAGATTAGGACAATAGTCCAAATGTAAATAGCATAAATAATGATAACTCCTGATCCCTAAAATTCGGAGAGAAGGTGATCAGGTGATAACAACAATAAAGATTAGGACAATAGTCCAAATGTAAATAGCATAAATAATGATAACTCCTGATCCCTAAAATTCGGACAGACGGTGTTCAGGTGATAACAACAACAAAGATGAGGACAATAGTCCGAATGTAAATAGCATAAATAATAATAACTCCTGATCCCTAAAATTCGGACAGAAGGTGATCAGGTGATAACAACAACAAAGATGAGGACAATAGTCCGAATGTAAATAACGTAAATAATGATAACTGCTGATCCCTAAAATTCGTAAAGAAGGTGATCAGGTCATAACAACGACAAAGATGAGGACAATAGTCCGAATGTAAAAAGCATAAATAATGATAGCTCCTGATCCCAAAATTCGGAGAGAAGGTGATCAGGTGATAACAACAACAAAGATGAGGACAATAGTCCGAATGTAAATAGCATAAATAATAGTAACTCCTGATCCCTAAAATTCGGAGAGAAGGTGATCAGGTAATAACAACAACAAAGATGAGGACAATAGTCCGAATGTAAATAACGTAAATAATGATAGCACCTGATCCCTAAAATTCGGGGATAAGATGATGAGGTGATAACAACAACAAAGATGAGGACAATAGTCCGAATGTAAAAAGCATAAATAATGATAACTCCTGATCCCTAAAATTCGGACAGAAGATGATCAAGTGATAACAACAACAAAGATGAGGACAATAGTCCGAATGTAAATAGCATAAATAATAGTAACTCCTGATCCCAAAAATTCCGAGAGAAGGTGATCAGGTCATAACAACGACAAAGATGAGGACAATAGTCCGAATGTAAATGGCATAAATAATGATAACTCCTGATCCCTAAAATTCGGAGAGAAGGTGATCAGGTGATAACAACAATAAAGATTAGGACAATAGTCCAAATGTAAATAGCATAAATAATGATAACTCCTGATCCCTAAAATTCGGAGAGAAGGTGATCAGGTGATAACAACAATAAAGATTAGGACAATAGTCCAAATGTAAATAGCATAAATAATGATAACTCCTGATCCCTAAAATTCGGAGAGAAGGTGATCAGGTGATAACAACAATAAAGATTAAAACAATAGTCCAAATGTAAATAGCATAAATAATGATAACTCCTGATCCCTAAAATTCGGAGAGAAGGTGATCAGGTGATAACAACAATAAAGATTAGGACAATAGTCCAAATGTAAATAGCATAAATAATGATAACTCCTGATCCCTAAAATTCGGAGAGAAGGTGATCAGGTTATAACAACAATAAAGATTAGGACAATAGTCCAAATGTAAATTGCATAAATAATGATAACTCCTGATCCCTAAAATTCGGACAGACGGTGTTCAGGTGATAACAACAACAAAGATGAGGACAATAGTCCGAATGTAAATAGCATAAAAAATAATAACTCCTGATCCCTAAAATTCGGACAGAAGGTGATCAGGTGATAACAACAACAAAGATGAGGACAATAGTCCGAATGTAAATAACGTAAATAATGATAACTGCTGATCCCTAAAATTCGTAAAGAAGGTGATCAGGTCATAACAACGACAAAGATGAGGACAATAGTCCGAATGTAAAAAGCATAAATAATGATAGCTCCTGATCCCTAAAATTCGGAGAGAAGGTGATCAGGTGATAACAACAACAAAGATGAGGACAATAGTCCGAATGTAAATAGCATAAATAATAGTAACTCCTGATCCCTAAAATTCGGAGAGAAGGTGATCAGGTAATAACAACAACAAAGATGAGGACAATAGTCCGAATGTAAATAACGTAAATAATGATAGCACCTGATCCCTAAAATTCGGGGATAAGATGATGAGGTGATAACAACAACAAAGATGAGGACAATAGTCCGAATGTATATAGCATAAATAATGATAACTCCTGATCCCTAAAATTCGGACAGAAGATGATCAAGTGATAACAACAACAAAGATGAGGACAATAGTCCGAATGTAAATAGCATAAATAATAGTAACTCCTGATCCCAAAAATTCCGAGAGAAGGTGATCAGGTCATAACAACGATAAAGATGAGGACAATAGTCCGAATGTAAATAGCATAAATAATGATAAATCTTGATCCCTAAAATTCGGAGAGAAGGTGATCAGGTGATAACAACAACAAAGATGAGGACAATAGTCCGAATGTAAATAGCATAAATAATGATAACACCTGATCCCTAAAATTCGGAGAGAAGGTGATCAGGTGATAACAACAACAAAGATGAGGACAATAGTCTGAATGTATATAGAATAAATAATGATAACTCCTGATGTCTAAAATTCGGACAGAAGGTGATCAGGTGATAACAACAACAAAGATGAGGACAATAGTCCGAATGTAAATAGCATAAATAATAGTAACTCCTGATCCCCAAAATTCGTAGAGAAGGTGATCAGGTGATAACAACAACAAAGATGAGGACAATAGTCCGAATGTAAATAGCATAAATAATGATAACTCCTGATCCCTAAAATTCGGACAGAAGGTGATCAGGTGATAACAACAACAAATGTGAGGACAATAGTCCGAATGTAAATAGCATAAATAATGATAACTCCTGATCCCTAAAATTCGGACAGAAGGTGATCAGGTGATAACAACAACAAATATGAGGACAATAGTCCGAATGTAAATAGCAAAATAATAATAACTCCTGATCCCTAAAATTCGGACAGAAGGTGATCAGGTGATAACAACAACAAATATGAGGACAATAGTCCGAATGTAAATAGCATAAATAATAATAACTCCTGATCCCTAAAATTCGGACAGAAGGTGATCAGGTGATAACAACAACAAATATGAGGACAATAGTCCGAATGTAAATAGCATAAATAATAATAACTCCTGATCCCTAAAATTCGGACAGAAGGTGATCAGGTGATAACAACAACAAATATGAGGACAATAGTCCGAATGTAAATAACATAAATAATAATAACTCCTGATCCCTAAAATTCGGAGAGAAGGTGATCAGGTGATAACAACAACAAATATGAGGACAATAGTCCGAATATAAATAGCATAAATAATGATAACTCCTGATCCCTAAAATTCGGACAGAAGGTGATCAGGTGATAACAACAACAAATATGAGGACAATAGTCCGAATGTAAATAGCATAAACAATGATAACTCCTGATCCCTAAAATTCGGACAGAAGGTGATCAGGTGATAACAACAACAAATATGAGGACAATAGTCCGAATGTAAATAGCATAAATAATGATAACTCCTGATCCCTAAAATTCGGACAGAAGGTGATCAGGTGATAACAACAACAAATATGAGGACAATAGTCCGAATGTAAATAGCATAAATAATAATAACTCCTGATCCCTAAAATTCGGACAGAAGGTGATCAGGTGATAACAACAACAAATATGAGGACAATAGTCCGAATGTAAATAGCATAAATAATAATAACTCCTGATCCCTAAAATTCGGACAGAAGGTGATCAGGTGATAACAACAACAAATATGAGGACAATAGTCCGAATGTAAATAGCATAAATAATAATAACTCCTGATCCCTAAAATTCGGACAGAAGGTGATCAGGTGATAACAACAACAAATATGAGGACAATAGTCCGAATGTAAATAACATAAATAATAATAACTCCTGATCCCTAAAATTCGGAGAGAAGGTGTGATCAGGTGATAACAACAACAAATATGAGGACAATAGTCCGAATATAAATAGCATAAATAATGATAACTCCTGATCCCTAAAATTCGGACAGAAGGTGATCAGGTGATAACAACAACAAATATGAGGACAATAGTCCGAATGTAAATAGCATAAACAATGATAACTCCTGATCCCTAAAATTCGGACAGAAGGTGATCAGGTGATAACAACAACAAATATGAGGACAATAGTCCGAATGTAAATAGCATAAATAATGATAACTCCTGATCCCTAAAATTCGGACAGAAGGTGATCAGGTGATAACAACAACAAATATAAGGACAATAGTCCGAATGTAAATAGCATAAATAATGATAACTCCTGATCCCTAAAATTCGGACAGAAGGTGATCAGGTGATAACAACAACAAATATGAGGACAATAGTCCGAATGTAAATAGCATAAATAATGATAACTCCTGATCCCTAAAATTCGGACAGAAGGTGATCAGGTGATAACAACAACAAATATGAGGACAATAGTCCGAATGTAAATAGCATAAACAATGATAACTCCTAATCCCTAAAATTCGGAGAGAAGGTGATCAGGTGATAACAACAACAAAGATGAGGACAATAGTCCGAATGTAAATAGCATAAATAATGATAACTCCTGATCCCTATAATTCGGACAGACGGTGATCAGGTGATAACAACAACAAAGACGAGGACAATAGTCCGAATGTAAATAGTGTAATAATGATAATTCTTCATCCCAGGAATTCGGAGAGAAACCACTTTGTTTATTGCTACTTTATATTTATATTAGTGGCCAAAGTTATGAGACCATTGTGTCTGGAATTTATAAAGATTGTGTGCAAATAGTGGCCAGTCATTGCCTACCTGGTTATTGAATTAATATTCAAATGCTCTGTCATTTTTATGGTATAGAGCACTTTTATGCCAGAAGGCTAATTTTGAGAAGACTAATTAGAGTTGCTTATTCAAACCATGGCCATTTTTAGATCTTAGGTGGATGATGTACCCTCCATACTGTGCAAGTTTGGTTTGCTTATCAACTTGTACTCGTCGGTAGTTTATAAGGTAATCATCTTATTACTGCAAGATACTTTAGGAAGACTCTATATAGAGCTGCTTATTCAAACCTTGGAATAATTCATCACCTCCCAAATCAACCCTATGTAAAAAAAATAATGTTGTTTATGAATTCTTATGTCTTTTGAGAGGATGTATCTCCAACATTAACAGATGAACAGCGGGAGTACCAGACCATATATGGCAGCAGTATTCCATGCAAGGACGAATGGTTGATTTGTAGATTTGAAGAATGGACTCAGGCGAGAAAAATCTTCTGGCGCGACATAGAGAACCAACTTTATGGGTTAATATTGTTATTATTATTATTGAATATGTAATAAAACCATTCAAGGAGAGAAAGTCCCTCTGATCCGAAGTCAGCTAGTAAAATGAAAAAAAAAAGGCAACCAGCCTTCAATTTTCCGGCGATTCTTCGACATTCAGAATGTGGTCCCAAACTTTTATCCGATAGTGGAAGTATTTAGAAAGCGTTCAGCAACGATAATGAATCTGGAAGTAAAACAGAACCGAGATCCCGATGAATGGGTTGCGAGATGAGGCCGCTGTCATTGACCCGAAGGAGTGACGGATCAGTTATTGTTGAGCCGAGGAGGATGACAATGTGTGTTGTTGATCCCGAAAGATTTCAACCTGGTCTTATTTGAAACGTCTCATCTTTCTTCTTTCCCTCCCATTCCCCTCCCCCGGGGGACTCATCCATCCGATTTCAATAGAGAAAGTTTCAAATAGTCCCCAATGTAACATTTACACCAAATGTTTATATTTACGTCTCATCACTTTCAAATCTCTGTCATGTTTAACGCTACACGCAAGTCATGTAAGGAACGTTTCTTGGCTTTCTCTTGCATTCTCGTCTTCTCTCTCTCTCTCTCTCCCTCTCTCTCTCTCTCTCCCTCTCTCTCTCAGCCTATTTAGATAATCGACGGCATTAACAATATCTTCTTCCCTTGCTTTTTACCATTCTCTTACACTTTCTCTGTCATAGATCTAATAGCACTTTGTTATGTATCTCCTTTTTTCATTCTTGACAATACACTATCTTTCCTCTCTCTCTCTCTCTCTCTCTCTCTCTCTCTCTCTCTCTGTTCATATCTATCTATCTATGTATCTATCTATCTAGTTATCAGTCTGTTCCTATCTATTTCAGTCTGTTTATATCTATCTATCTCTCTATCTATCTATCTATCTTTGTCGGTTCATATCTATCTCAGTCAGTTCATATCTATCTATCTATCTATCTATCTATCTATCTATCTTTGTCGGTTCATATCTATCTATCTCAGTTCATATCTATCTATCTATCTATCTATCTTTGTCGGTTCATAGCTATCTATCTATCTATCTATCTTTGTCGGTTTATATCTATCTATCTCAGTCAGTTCTTATCTATCTATCTATCTTTGTCGGTTTATATATATCTATCTCAGTCAGTTCTATCTATCTATCTATCTATCTATCTATCTATCTTTGATCATGCCTATCTGCAAGAATCACACTGACAGGATAACTGATTTTTCATATCTATCTATCTATCAGTCTGTTCATATCTATCTATCTATCTATCTATCTATCTATCTATCTATCTATCTTCTGATACCTGTCGACGCAGAAAGTGAACCCGGCCAGCCGTGTTCAAATTCCGGGCTAGTCCGTCGCATTCACTTTCTAACAATTACACTTGTGAAAGCCATAAAGCTGACTCTACAGATTAAATAGCAATGTAGACTGGGCTCTCTAGCCTAGCGTGGCAAATAGATTATGGAAATGGCAACAGGAAATCACGCCACTATCTTTATCAAAATACCATGCTCACCTACATCCTGAATGGACATGACATTTAAAAAAATATATCATTATTTCTCTTTCCTTCTCCACACCTACATATATATAGTCATCCACATACGTAATGTTTCGCTGTATCACAGCTCTTCAATGCGGCTAGACGTCAAGCGAAACTCGATTGATTTGTTATCAGTCAGAGATTCTGCCCCTAGGCTATCGTCGCACGATAGAGTGAAAAGGGAAATTTTAACGTTTTCTATGCGAAATACGTCAGTGGCCCGGAGAGCTCAATTCAATTCGGTTGAAGAGCAATGCGTTACTGGTGGTATGAGACGCTGTTTTTAAATTTTACCCTTTTCTCAAGAGAGCTAAATCGGATTTCCCGATTGGATGTCTTGGACATATGCTTATTTGGATATTTTACCTTGTTTTGGTATCAAGAACCGACCCCAAAGTTTGTCAAATTATTTTTGGACTTGGGTTGTGCATTTAAATGTGTCTACCGTAAACTCAAAAACGAAGGATTTGCGGACATATGTTTATATGGACTTTTTTTTCCTTCTTTTGGTATGAGGAAACCGCCCACGAATTTTGTAAAAGTATTTTTGATACAGGCTTGGGATAGAAAATCTTACTAAAGAAAATGTTCGTGGATTGATAATGGTTTTCCAGATTTAAAAGTAAATACAGGTTCGATTCCTGTCATTTTCTTTAATTATATATTCGTTCAAAGTAGGGTCCAATAAGTTTTCTAAACACCTCGAAGAATACCAGTAAGATATCTTTAATCATTCCTAAGATACAACGGTTCAAATCTTAATCGAATGATTGGACAATTTTGCTGTTACGCCCGGCATATATATATATATATATATATATATATATATATATATATATATATATATATATATATTAGGCATTTAAAACACAATTCCGGAAAATCCTCGTTGAAAACACAACTATACTTAAACATGAACACAATAAACAAAAAACAAAAATTCTTGAAGCTATATACATAAAACAGTTGATACCTAACCTGAACAAAATAAATTATGAAATCTCCACAAATATTCTTAAATACCTATAATTTATAATAGAAGCCATTGGTTTATACCAACGGCTTCACATACTTAATACTTCTCCTTTTCACACTCGCGTGGTCATGTGTGTCGTCATGAGCTGCGGTGCGATTTTCGCTTCCAGCGTCTTCTATGCACGAGTTTTTCGTTGCTTGGAAATCTTCCATGTAAATATAAGCAGACAATCATTATTGTTTTGTCCGTGTATTGGTTAATATATTGTAATGTAATTGTCATCTTTGTTAATGGCTTATGTAAGGCGAAAAAAATATGTATCAATATTGTGATTTTCTTTCTTCTTTTAATGATAATGTTATTAAGCTCATCAGACGATATGAAAAGATATTTACATAAAATGAATAGATAAAACTTGTCTATATTATATAATGAAACATGCATCAATGAAAAAATGCTACCTCAATACACACAATATATATATATATATATATAGTCATTCACAGACAGACTGTTTCGCTGTATCACAGCTCTTCAGTGTGGCTAGAAATTACAGAGATATCTACATGTGTTAATGTTCTTGGTAGCTGTAGGGTCATATAATTTAACAAATGCAATAACGCAATAAAATTCCCGACGTTGATTTCTTTCTGTGAGAGAGAAATAATATCGTCCAAGGATAAGATCAAATATATTTAAGCGAAACATACAGTTCGCCTACAAGTCTTGAAAATACCCGTGACAGTCGATATTACTCGAATATAAACACCTTGTACTCCCAAGTGGTCACCCATCTAGGTAATGACAAGACTCGACGTTGCTTAACTTGGTTGATCGTACGGAAACCGGTGTTTAAACATGATGAGGCCATTAACAACGTTTAGAGGAGATAACAAAATGACAAAATTTATTAAGAGCTACAAAGGACATGAAATTGTGGAGAGCCATGATCGCCAATGTTCTGAAGGGACACGGCACAAAGAAGAAGAAAAACGAACTTGTGTAAATAGCTGGCGGAACAAGGTTTAGGGGAGATAACAAAAAGAAAACATTTATTAAGAGCTACAAAGGACAGGAAATTATGGAGAGCCATGATCGCCAACATTCTCAAGGGAGACGGCACATAGAAGAAGAATGTAGTCTTGTAAAGACTGACTTATTTTTCACTCTACAGCCTCTTTGCCCACAGTCGCAATGTTGCAAGCCTCTCGTTCTCTATCGTTATTTCCATGGCAAAGGTTCAGATGAGCTCCATTCCTTAATTCTGAACTTCCTAGCTAGGAATTTGCCTGCCGCATCCACGGAGTCGAATCACCTTCATTCCATCCATATTCCATTTGTAAGAAGGAAGTTCCACACAGACACACTTTTCCTGAGAACGGTTCTTTTGTAGGACGAACTTCCACGTGGATTTATCAATGAATATTACAATCATAACGTCTTCAATTCAAGTGTCAACCGCTATGTATCCTCATAAACTTCTCTTTTTGTCTGTCTCTGGTTACATTCAGTATCATTTTACCTACCTCGAGTGGCTCTTGAGCCTTGTATTGGATGAACCTTATTATGAACCTTTTTACAGCGATACTATAGTATACACTTTCCCTATTTGCCCAGCATTTTTTTTAAAATGGAAGGAGAGCAAAAACTAACCTTTCAATGTGATATCACGTGTATCAATTTAATCGCGTGGGCAGCATTTTGATCATAATATTTTTGACCTTTGTCTTCATTCTGCTCCTGATCCTAATCAGGACCCATGCCACATATTAAACACATCACCACCTCTTTTCTTTTTTTCCTTCTGTCATCATAGTCCCAAAACCAATATACAATGTCGTTGCTTTTCTTTTCATTTCCTCCCCGAGAAGCCACTTGTTCCGTTTTTTTTATATTTTTTATTCCCTGATCGACAGCGCAATGAACAGTTTCTTTTCAAAAATCTATAAAAAGAATCAATTGTCTGTTTCCTTTACCCATTTCCCAAAACCTAAGTGCACTTCGACCATATCCGCTTTAGAGTCTAATGCAAATACTTAATTTTGTGTTCTGGATTGTCTGCCCTTAGTTGTATCTAAACTCACCAGGACAAATTTTAAAGACGCTTTCGACTCTCTTCCTTTTATTTATTTTTCTTTTTGTTCTTGTTTTAGTCTCTCTAATGGACGTGCCATTGTTAATGTTTTTTTTATTCATTGTTTCTCCAAAGCAGTTACTCATCGCGATAAAACTGAATTGACCTCGGTTTTTAGTACATTTCTGATTAAACTGATAAGGCGAACAAGAGTCTATTTTTTAATCAAATTATTATTAACACAGTATTAGTCTATAATTGACATTTATTATTCATCGTTTTCAATTTGACTGGTTGACCTTAAGGTTATTTTTCAAAATAAAGTGTCACGCCGTGGGGTAATGGTTAACAAGCTAGTCTAGAAGACAATTACGAATGAGTTCAATTCCTTATAACAGCGCGCTCTATCCTTGTGCCAGACTATGCTAAGCTTAATGCATAACTAGAATTGGAGGCACGATAGAGTTTATGGATAGCGGTTCGGATTGAGGAATCAGAGTTCGAATTCCAGTCGAATCCATTACATTCACTTATGTGGTACATGGGAAAGGTATGAATCCTCTTCTCCCCACACCAGCTATGGGTAAATAGCAGGACAGACCGGGTTCTATAGCCTTGGATGGCAACAGGTCTACCACCGAAAGAAATGGCTGCGGGAAAAAATCTGCCTCGTCAGTCATGTATCTTTTGATACATGATCGCCTAAGCGTGTATCACGCATGTCGCATAATTGAGTACTATAGAATTCATTTTTAAACCGACATATTTTTTATGACGTCAAACGTTATTTTTAGGGGATACTTGTGTTTGAGTAGACGTGTCGTTTTTGTAAACTATTTATTTCAACTATCAACCTACGAAATCGAGAAAAGAATTAATAATGGAAATGTGCCCTCCAGGAGTTGAACCTGCTTCACAGTAACAATCACCGTCTGATCTGACACGCTTTAAACCATTCGGCTACGGAGAGCCTTACAGCCAAGCAACTTTCTGTTTGCATTAAGGCTCATCTTTAATATGCAAGCCGGTAGACGAAATAAACACGGTTTAAAAAGTGGGGTGTTCTACTCAGATACGGGTATCTACAAAAAAAAAAGTCATAAAAACATGTCTACTATTCACATGGTATCATTTTCGATATATTGTCTATAACATTGAGAAGAGCCAGTAACATCTTTAACTTTGTGTTTCATCTGTGTTTTATTGCTGTTGTTTCGGCCGATCTTTTCTTCGGGCTTCTTCAGGTGTAATCCGTAAAAAAAAAAAAAAGCAATCCTCTGCAATCCTGGTTTCTTTTCCTCCTGTTTTCATATTTCAGACCTGCTGACAAGCTACGGGTACTGGCAGATTTCCTTTACCCTTTTCACAATTAGTACATCCAGTCTGACTTGGCTGGTTTTTTTCTGTCTGGATCTCAAAATTCCAGAGTAAAGTGGTAGCTGAAATTTCGAATGAGAAAAGAGGGCTTGGAAAATCGGATACTCACAGGGCGGATAGAGAGAAAGAGGGACAAGGGAAAGCAACGCGTGACATATTTAATGGGCTTGAGCAAGTGGATGGCAGAACAGGGTTTGGGAGAAATAACAAAAAGGCAAAACTTATTGGGAGCTACAAGGGACACGGCACATAAAAGAAGTTTGTTCTCAAACTCAACTCATTTGCACAGTTTCCATTACATCACTGTTCCTACTCTGTTATGTCTGCTTTAGTACTGCTTTTAGGCTAGTTTGGTGATATCAGTCTGTTAGTTATGTGCCATGCGTTATACAAGCTTAGGCACCTACAACCTGTGATCAATCAGTTACGTGCCATGTGCGATCATGTATCTTTCGATACATGACTGACGAGGTAGAGTTTTCCCCGCAGTAGGTTGCCATTTCTTTCTGCGGTAGGCCAGTTGCCATCTAAGGCTATAGAACCCGGTCTATCCTACTATTTGCCCATAGCTAGGGGAGAGAAGAAGATGATTCAGTGTATTAGCACGTAAGTATTGTAACGGATTCGACTGGAATCCGAACACGGCTCTCCGATTCCTCAATCCGAGCCGCTTCCTCCTGAGGTGATATACAGGTGATATTTTCTTTCTACATGACGTCATTAGATATGTCTCTGCATTCATGCAATCGATCTGTTCTAGGTTATAATAATAATAATTATTCCTTTTCTCGTGTCAGATGTCTTCTGCGCAACTATTATTAATACTAGTATATTAGCCATTTTAAATGTTACATCTCTAATTCCAGCAATCTAAAACGCCAAAACACAGCCAGATAAATCTTGTTTACCGTACTGTTGAGGCATGTTTTTCACAATGCATGTGATAGCCAAAAATGCTTCAAAATAACAGCAAAAAACTTTGGGTAATTTATTTATGA